TTAAGATTCATGAACCTCCATTCAATTAATTCATCAGAAGCCTGAAAAAGCTAATTGTGCGTTCATGTATTTCCATAGGCACACAGGCTCATTCCTGTGCCAGATGTCAATAATACCTGATCCGTGCAAATGGAGCTGGGTTTGTGGCGGCCTGCTGCCCTATCTAATTAATATTGTGAGTCCAGTTCTCCTAAGTAGGAATGGAGCTTGAGTTTTGCATAATTGTAAGGCCAGGGGTGGGCATGGTGAGAGACAGGGATCAATTCTGTGTCTCCGGGGCTGAAATCCGAAATGCCAGTATTCCATTCCCAAGGCCCCATATATGGGAAGGCAATGCAAGAGGCTGGATTTTTGCACAAAGAGGGCTCAGAAAAATCTGCAGTGCACTGCCCAACCCTAGCAACTGTTTGAAGAGGTGAGAGGGGCTTAATATCTTATGTGAGGATCACACTGTGTCCCTCTCTGTTTTTCCTTGATAATCCTAACGCTGTTGTTGCCCCTGGGTCATACAGTGCCAGACTGGCCACTGCACAATTTCACATGCTGAGCTTCCCCAGGCAGCATCAGGACTTTGGTGGCTTGTGGAAGTGATGTTTGTGGGTAAGTCCATAGGGCCAGGACCATGTGTATTGTCACCTCATTGCCTCCTCCCTTCTTTGGGGAAGATGCTTTTCTCAGGCCTGGATGAAATTTTATGTTTTCCAAAGCAGGTTGTAGCCAAGCACGGCTTGCTTTTATTTTTGTTGTTCCTAGCATTATTACCACACAGCTTGCTTTCAAAGATAACGATGTGGAAAAACAATAGCATCTTGCCAAACTCCTTCAGTGTACCATTTGCAGGTTGTGCTATTTTATCAGTGTCTTAATATGTACATTGCAATGGTGTGAAAACTCTATTTTGTGAGCTACAAAGAGAATGAAAATATTGAAATAAGTCCCTCCCTGCCCTGCCAAAGAGACATACCTTCTTCTGGTACTTTTCCTTTTCTATCATTGTTCTGTATTGTAGGGATCTTGTTTAGCATATAAAAAACTACTGCTGCACTCTATTATCAAAGGCATATTTGTTAAAACATGCATATAAAAGGATTTGTAATTGAAGAACAGCTTTGATATATTTAATAGGATGTAAAACTGCCATTCCTTTTAAATAGGAGATGCTTTATGTGCATTAGAAGTAATATAATAATGCTCTTCACTGAGCTCTACCCTCTAGCAGACTGTTTTTTCCCTTTCTTTTAGTTGATCTTAAAACTTTAATGCAATCTAAACACATTGACATCTTTTTCTTTTCCTCCCCGCTCTGTACTTGGAAGCGCTTTGAACTGAACTTTGTTTCAAATAAGGGCTAGCAACAAACATGGCATCAATATACAGGGCCCTGGTGCTGCCTGACAGATGGTCCATAAACCAGCACATCTCCTTGCCTTAGGAATGTTTACAGTAATGGGAGTGTGGCTGCATGTGCGAGCGAGCAGCACGCCTGAGAGTAACCTTGTGAAGAATGAGCAGCTATAATGGCATTCTTTTCTATATTCCCATATCTCAAATGTAATCAAATGCCAGAGCAGCAGAAATAGAAAATGACAATCAAAACAAAAAATAGTAATAGTTTTAATAGCTATTTCTGTGCTTCAGTCTCAGAGTGTTTTACAAGGAAACACTGTTAAATTCAGGAAATAAGAATGTAAGCTGGTAAAAAGAAAGTATGCTAAATCTGACTGGTTTTGGGGTACTTGTGGTTAGGGGTCTCATCTTACACAGAGCTGTTCTCTATTCCTTTCAGAACTTGGGATCAGGGAATAGTTTTCAAGATGGCGAATCTAAATTATTTATTCTGGAAAATTGCAGATGTGTCACTGAACCTTGTTAGAGGAAACCAAAAGAGAGGCCATTTCTCCTGATTTCTGGTCTAGTGCCTCACTAGCACCCAGCAGTACATATTAATCATGATGGTTGTAAGAATATTCACAAAGTGCCTGAGATGCTGCTGCTTCATGAACAAACTGAGACCATCAAAAGGAAAGTATCTCTCTCCTGTTTGAGGCATTACTGTATTGACCAAGTTCAAGTTGACTGTGCAACTGCACTTCCTGCTTTCCCTAAGAATATCTTTTGGTTCATTTATTCACGTGTCCTTTCAACACAAAGATGTTCTGCTAGTGCTTGTGCTTGCAGGAGCTGGACAGCTGTGATCCATGGATTTAGTCCTTTGCAGAATAAATTTGAATGTGTTCACCCTGTTTTTGTGGCAAGGGCTGAGCACTGGCCTGACACACAGGTTTTGAAGACATATTTTGGTGACTGTAGGGATGCTGCTGTCATCCAGGTCTGTTTGTAGGAAGAAGTTGCAAATCTGTGTCTCTCTGTTTCCTGATGAATTTTTGGAAGACTGACTGTTCCTCCAGGCTGACAAAGTAAGTGGGAGAGCACATGTGGCCAGTCATCTCTCAAGGGACTCAGTCTGAGCATTCTCTATAAGAAAGGCCAGATTCCATGCTTGGGACTGTAGCTGCCCAGTGCAGCAGCTTCTGCTGCCTCAACAGTTTTCTTCAGCAGTGTTTTTAACCTGGATCTTCTGGCCTGCACTGGAGCCCACAAATAGCCAAGGTTAGCAAGTGGATGTATCCATTAAAACAATACAGGTATCTGAAAGACCTGTTAAGCTGTGTATGTAAATATCTGAATGTCAGAATATATTCTACTAATATAATTCATGAATGATAGACAGAAAACTCCATTTCATATAGAGAAAATGACATTCTTTTCGTGAAGGGAGGCAGTGCAAGTCATTCAATTTGCATTTGGATATTGCTATTGTTCAGTAAGTGTCATGGGTTTGGGTGCATACTGCAAGAATCACACAAGGAAGTATAAATGTTTTCTGAAAACATTTCTCTTTTGCAGATGGAAATCCAGCTCCCATCTCTGCCAATATATGAATTCTAAAAAAAACCAGGTGTATTCATTAAATATCTGGCTTATGAAAAAACAGTCTTTTTTCCAATGAAGATGGTCTGCAATTTAGGCTGATGTAAAGTAGGTTTAAATAGGAATTAAATTTTTAAAAAGTCAAGGCAGAATTCAGAGATCTTATCATTGTTTTCTGTGTCAGCACACTACTTCAGTGAGTACAATTTAAATACCAAGTCAATTAAGTGCCATAAATTCCTCAGGTGTAACTAAATCTAGTTAATTGTGGTGAAGTGCTGCCTAGCTACATCAATCAAACAGATGAAACATTTGGGGGGAAAAAAACCAAAAACTAATCCAAAAATCAGAATGGGATTTAGAAGAAGTTGATGGAAGAAAAGAAGTACTGCATTCAATGCACTATAAAAATTCTAGCCTGGGCTGTTGGTTGTTTTTCTAATTAAAAATAAAAAAAGCCATACTGGCAGAAGTGGTCCAATGAAGTCTTGGACAAAGCCCTGCTGCGCAAGTGAGGCATGAGTTCATCCCAGACCCAGCCAGACTCTACTGTAGAAAATTAAAAGTTATTTACCCATTTCATTCAGCTTCTGGATTATGCCTTTTCTGATCAAATTAGCTCTTACCTTCTTCTTGCAAGACAAAATCACTGGCCTGGAGCACATCACTAAACAGAAAATTAATTATAGTTGTCTGCTGGGTGTAGAATGCTTGTCACTGGGACTGAATCCTGTAGTCCCCATAGATCTCCAGACCACTGGACACAGGTAAATGATGCACTTCAGCTTATTGTTCATATTTGGTTCTGTATGCAGGTAGCTAAGTTTTCAAAGAAGCCATCCTCATGAGGGTAAACCTCTTTTCACTCAAAGATATCAAATGTAAGTCTCTACAGGTGACCTCAGCATTTGTATGTTTAAATGGCAGTATTTTTGAAGTATTTCAGTCCTTTTTAAGAGTTAGGATAAATACTCAATAGTATTTTAATTCTGGCTCAAATATTTAGCTTTTCTCTCCTCTTCTAATTACACAGTAAGTGTAAGGAAACTATTGGGCCAGAATTAAGTATAAACACACATTCTAATAATCATATGCCTTCTCTATATGGAGGTCATGAAGGACTGAAAATAATACTGCATTATTTTAAATACGCTTCAACAGCTTATTTCAGGAAAAAAAGAACAAGCAGTATTTACTTAGGACAGAGAACTCAGAAAAGAAATAGTTGAAATAAAGCATTCATAAAAGTGTGTATGAACTACAATGGACCAGCAGCAGACTACCTTGATTTAAAAAAAGAACAAATCATCTATTTTAAGCAACTGCCTATGGCCTAGTCCACTACATGACATGCAAAGAGAATACCCAGACAGAGGAAGTTAATGCTTTATGTGTGCTTCAAATAGCAACTAAATGCTACCAAATAAATAGGTGTGGGTTCCTTAAGAGATCTTTCAGTCTGGAAAAAAAAAAAAGGGATCAATTTACCATGAAAAGGCATGTATAGAAACAGAAAAGGCACATGTAGCCTTGTCTGACACACATTCATTCCAGCTATTCTAAATATTCCCAAAACACAACAGGAAACATGCGGTTTAATACTGATAATTTTTGTTCATAGGAACAATGAAAGCTGCATTTGAAGGTATTACATTTTCAAGAGAGAAGGGGAAGATATGGGTTCAATGTCAGTTCTCTGCTGAAGCACAGTGTGTAGCTCTGTGAAGAACCCACAAGTATTAGCTACACCCACAGAGCAGAGGTTTGGCATTTCCAAAATTAGTGCTCCCCTTCACACAGAATTAGTCTTCTGGGAATTCATGTCTTCCCTCACTCCCTGAAATGTGCAACAAGTATATTAACCTTGAAACACCTTTTTGTCTCTCCTAAGCTTCACTGAAAATAAATCTAGGAGTCCTAGTCCTCATATGTGAGGCTGAGAAGGTAGTGCTAATGTAGTCTGCTTCCACAGAGAAATTCCACTGTGCTTCACTGCTGCGCAGCCCTGAACACACAGAAACAGAGTGGTCAGTCTCCTCTGAGAAATAATACCAGATTCAAACTGTCCCTTGAGTGTAAGGTATTCATTACAATTTCTATTTTTTTAATAGTGAAGGTTTATTACTTATTTTCTGTCTTCACAAATCTGTGCTGGTAGAACAGGCACTTCTTGCAGTGTCAGCCATGTGAAGATTTCTAGGTGCCTCAGTTCTGATCTGTGAAAAAAAAAATAATCAAAGAGAATAAAAAAAAAATCAAATCAAATTTTAAAAAAAGGATGCAAGAGACTATGAATAGAGATATATAGATATATAAATATGATATTAATTCCATGGGGGCAAAAAATCCACGGGGTTTTTTTGTCCCCACAGATGTCACAGTCTAGCAGTGCCTGCCCAGTGCCTTCTCATGCTGCTCTTAAAGGCAGTGTCTCAGAGACTTGAGGGCTCACTTAGGCTGTAGAGCTTGCTGGTTGGTACAAGTACATTGGTGCTGGAACTAACTCCTTAAGCAGTTGCTGGTCCCTGAAACTCTTTTAGCTGCTTTCAGGGTGATGCTGGCAAGGTGACAGCAATTCAGACCCAGGCAGGGAAGAGAAGGTGGCTCTCCTTCAATGCAGCATGTCCTACAAGTAAAATAAACCACATGTTCATTTTGCAAATCTGTCCACTGGTACAGAAATCTGTCCCCCTCTGTGAACCAGTAAAGAGGCAAGACAGCAGATTGAACTGAATTTTGGGAAAAAATCTGCTGCTGTTCACGTGCACAATGGAAACGGAGATCTCTTGGAACCCGGGACATTTATCTGGGTCATTAAACAGAAGCTGTGGGTCACTTACAGGAAATGGGGTGCTGTGGGTAGTGCCTGGAGAGTAATAATGAGAGCCAGGTAATGGCATCCAGTCAATTACAGTCTTATGTTGGCATTGTCTAAAATGGAAAACCCAACAGTCTAAAAGGCTATAACACTGATTCTGTAGAACATTAAACTATTACTTTATGCTGATGATATCCTACTGTTAATTAAGGACTCGCATGCTTCCCCTCCTGCTTATAATGAATATTGCTCTCTGAGTACAAAGTTATCATTGCACAAAATTAATGACTCTGAGACTGCAGTGATGCAGCTTTCTGGAGTTTGCCCTTCAGCCTTGTTCACCTCATGGAATCTTAAGTGGGCACCCAAAAATATAGTACAGATACTTAGGGGCTGATATTAACAAAGCCTAAGACAATGTAATTAAAAACCATTTAAATCCAATTACCAAGCAGGCAGGAGAAGATTTGGAGGGATAGGCAGAACTAAATAAAAGCAAACCTGTGTTATTCAGTTTGCCATCCCATCAGGTTGTTAAAGATGAGAACATTGTGTAAGTCAGCACCCTCAAAGTTACTGTCATAAATGGGTTCACAACAGTATTTCCCTCTGGTACTAGCAGTTACATGTGTTGAGTTTACTTTGAGCATAAATGTACATAAATGCCTATAAAAGAATTCTAACAGTGACTAATAATTATATTTCTGACCCACATCTAAAAAAAAATAAAAGACATACAGTTAAGTGTACTTCACCTACTACTGAAACTCAGCTGTTTCTTTAAAGGGTACAGAGGTGGATCACACAAGTACCACATTCAGCACACAGAATGGGACAAAGCCTAAGCTATACTGCCAAGTTCATGTTTACCCACAGCCCAGGCTTCTGAAGCAATAAACCAGCAAAGTTTCCTTAAAAGTCAATGTAGAACTTACTGAATACCACAACAACTACAGAATATTTCAGATGACAGAAATTTCAGGATGTGAGGATGAAATAAAGATGCCACATGAAACATTAAGGAAGTATTTATAGGTCTTGGGATGAGAAATGTTACTATTCCTCTTAAATATCATATAATTGGCCCAATTTTATGCACCAAAATTGGTTTTTTTTATTTATTCCTAAAAGGCATAATTTTAAATGAAAATTGCTGTATTTTAGATAAGATTGTCTTTTTTCTCTTTCTCATACTGTAAACTAATATTGATGTTAAGCAGAGGTTGCATTCTAGCAGAGATGGCTAGACTAGATATCTTTCTGGAAAGCACATGAAAACCTTAGTGATGAAAAGAATTCTATAAATATTCATCAATTATCTTCAGATTGGCTTGAAAAATTAAATCATGACAGTCAGACTTATGTCAGTATCCTATGATTTTTTGACCGTTCAGCATGTTCTGTGGAATTAACTTTACCTCCGGTAAAAGGCAGACAAGATCCATTCCAACAAGTGTACTCAGATTTTTCCAGTCTATGGTGGGATTAGCCAGGTGGGACCAGATAGCAGAAAGATCTTGCTGGGGAAATGGTCAAAGCCTTTGTGCATGACAGCTGCCTACCAAAGCAGAAAGGTCATATGTGGTGGAGAAGGCAGTGATGCATATTTGTGATAAGATCGGGGCTTTAAATAAAAGGTGTCAGTGAAAGAACAGTCTGGACAGCAACAGATACATGGAGAAGCTGTTGCTGCTATGAGAACATGAGCTATGAAAATTCATGGCTATGAAGAGTGCATTATCCTAACAGCTCTACAGCAAACAATGCAAGATAGCACTGTAAATACCTAAACTTGACAAAAACTGTTCAGCAGGCAGGAGTTCCTCTTCAAAACTGCAGCCTGAGAGGTGTGCTTTTCTGCTTCCCAGATACTCACATTCTCTGAATTATATTCTTAGCAAATTTGTGCATGGCAAATTCAGTCAGCTTTCTGCACAGGCATTTAAGCTTCACTGAGTGAGTGCCCAGAGTTCAAGTCACAAGAATATCTAAATTGACAGACACACAATAAATCAAAGATCTCTAACATGTTGGCATTGCTTAAAGACTATGGAACAACTTAAACAGCGTCAAGGACATTCATAGCTTCTCTTTCTGATCCATGTTTGGTTATAGTAAACAACCATAGATCACTCATAGATCACTGATTACAGTAATGGACAAAAGAAGTAGGAACGAATAGAGGCAGCTTAGTGCTAGATTTCCTTCAGAGTTATTTGGGGTGAACAGGTTCCACTTATTGCTAAGAGGTTGTGCACAAGTCTGATTGTGTTCCTAAATTATTCAAAGTTTTTAAACAAAATTTAACTCTAAGTACTTGCAGAAAAATGTATCAGAAACTGGCAGATAAAAATCACAGATGAGGGTTAGGTGCAATAAATGCAAACTAAAGCATGAAGAAAAAACAAGTAGTAGCCATGCATGCTCAGTGGTATGCTCTAAATCACTTCAGAAAGAGACATCAGTGTTGGTCTAAGGAGTCAATAAATTAGAGGAAAGGCAAAAAGAACAGAGCATGAGACAACATTGCTGCATAACAATACTGTTGCACAACTCTAGTATGTGCCTGCACTCTAAATACCAGCTGCAGTTTTGGTCCTGATCTCAGCAAGGATCAAAGACTAAGTGGAAAGAGTCTGGAGATGGATTATAAGACTAATCAAAGGAATTTGGCAGCTTCCTGTCCAGGAGTGATGATAGACTAGGCTTTGGTACTATAGTAAAGAGATGACTGAGGGGTTTATGAGGAAAAATATCTCAGCTGTTAGAGTAGGCAAATAAAATGGTTACTATCTGGTATTTCTCAGAATACAAGAACCAGACTACTACATTTCATGTTTAGCATTCAGATTAGAAATAAACAGACTGATTTTTTTACATATTCTGCATATTTGAACCCAAGAACTACTTGCCACACACTGTTGAAAAAACTCTGAGTGTTCCCCAGTACACCATCAATTCACATGGGTGCAAAGTGCAATTGTACAAACTCATAAAGAACAACAGCTCAAGCTTTTGAAAGGAAGATGTCACAGCTAACTCAGGAGATCTCCAAGATTTGGATCACTAGAGGCTGCAAGGATATTGCTGTACACTTACACTCTTTGCCTTGGTGTTGCCTACTTGTGTGAAAGGGAGCTCTGGTTTGATCCAAAAAAGCTGTTGCCTTGGCAGATGAGGCATTTGGGTGTGTTTACTTAAGCTGAGGCCAAGTCCTTCTGCAGCACATATTTCACACCACAGCTCTTGGAGCATTACTCTGCATTTGTGAGCATAGCATAACCAGCTAAAAACGATGACACAAAATTGCCTAGAGTGGTTCTGTACACTATGGAGGTTGAAAAAAATGAAAAGCCAGAAGATAGTAAGAGTAGAAGATAGTAAGTTTAAGGGGACAGGAGCAGATGGACACTTACTATTGAGACACAAAACTAAGGCTGAAGCCAAATCCCAAGTGCAGCAGAGATGGAATGCTAATCTGGCCATGAAATCAACCAGCCTACATAAGTTCTGCTCGATACTGACTGAAGACACAGCCAGGAGAAAGCTCTTTGGAAGAGAAATAATCAGGAGCACACAGTCTGCGTTTCTGCACTGCTAAGGAAATGATGCTGTGAAACATCAGCTCGACTGCTAGAACTGAGCTTAAATCAGGGGCTAGTTTCTCATCTCAAATAAATCAGGGTGGCAGTAGCAAAGAGAGAGAATCAACTATCTGACAGCTCTTCACCAAAGTCAATACACTTTAACACTGATATACCTGAATTGCCTAGTGTTACAGAAATCACAGTAGGTGTATTAAATTTTATCTATCCCAGTCAGCCAGCCTATGTTTTTTTTCTTTCACCAAAAACCCCCTGAATCATCACACTGCAAAATGTCTCTGAATAGCCTTATCAGACATTTGAGTTTTCTTTGTGGCTTCGGTTGTTCATGACACTGACAAGAACTAAAGTTACTAGAGATTGGGCTATAGTGTTTTTTATTTTAGAGTACAGAACATAGTTGAGGGTGAGTATTTTGGATCATCACCAGATTTCTGTGCTGGAGCACTTTTTGGTAGACACAACAACATGAAACTGTGGCCTTTCAGGGACAGAAGCCAATGGGCATCTTGGCCCTATTTCTTGAACTACATCCAACCTGTCTCACAGGTTTTGGAAGCTAAACTCTTGATCTCTGTTTTTTCACTTCATCCTCTGTCCTGTTGACTTTAATTGCAAATTCTCTGGGGCCTTAGACTGGGTGTCTAGGTGCTATCATACTACAAATGACATATAATAATAATTTCATTTTTGATCAGCTGCCTTGTAATGGCATTTTTCTTCTGGGCTTTATAATTTTTTATTTGATTGCATCCTTGCCCTAATTTCAAAGATGGAAAATAATAGATTTTATACAGAACAATCCCAAAAGTCCTAGCTACAGCTGATCTGCAATTCAATATAATGGTTCTTTTCTTTTTCATTATTTTTTTATCCTTTCAGATTTGAATAATATCATTTGTGTGATGTTACTCAATTTCTCTGTTTTAATTTGAAATCCTATTTTTAATCAATTAGGAAAAAATGACCTAATTAAGGAGTAATTTAGGCCAGCAACTTAAACATTGTTTCATAAAGTAGATGCATTTAATTGGAAATGTGCTCAACTACTGCATTGCATTAGCAAGTAATTTGGAAGAAACAGTCAATGGGATCCCCTGACTGCTGTTTCAGAAATGATAGTGACAAAGCTGAAGTCCAGAGCAGTCTGATTAACTTGGTTTTTAATAATAGCTTTGCTATGAGCCTAAAGGTCCAAGCAAC